CTCCTATAAATTTCCAATTTTCGCAGTTTCCTCTTTACAAATTAAAACATGTGACACTCCGGAGCCATTCAAAATTTTATGCTAGTTGACAATTTCCGGCATTTTTTTTCATCGATATTTTTATTTCCCCGTTCATTGAAGGGTATTTTCGTCTGATCACTTGGGTAAAGAAACAAAACACAAAATATATAAATAAATTCAATATAAGCCAATTCTTCACGTGACACATCCCCATGCCACCAACCCCTAGCGTCAAACAACTCTGCATCACCGCACCTGCTTTGCCGCCTGCAATCACCCACCACCACAACATAGCTGCAACACAATCATGAAGAACCCATCCTAAATCCAGATAACCAGTCTAGCCTTACATAGGATTTTAGGTGGCTAAATAAATTGGAGGGATTTATGCGTCGACGATGTGTGACTAATCGTCGTCTTCATCGCCGCAGAAGATATCAATTTTGGTGAGGGATAACTTGAGAAGGCGGGGGTGAAGTCAATCGAGCAGCAATAACTATTAGTGGAAAATGCGGAATTTGAGCAACACCGGGATGAGGGTTATAGTGGTCGTTACAGACTAGTGTTGTGAGGAACTTGAAAATTGTGAGAGCAAGCATTAGCTGGTGGGTCTTCAGTTTGAAGATGATGGTTTTTTAAGATAATGAAGAGCGGTGGTAGTGGAGGAGGTGGTGGTGCCGTGTTGGAAAGAAGGAAGGGGATCAGGGTTTTTAAGGAAATTTTGAAATTGCAATTTGGTCCTTAGAATTAGATGGATGAATTTAAAATCGGATGAACTTGAAAAAAAAAAAAACACATATACCCTAACATGACGCATATACCCCTTAAATGGACAGAGAAATTTGTAATCCGTTAAAAAATGCACCAGAGTACGAGTTTTTGGGCAACGTATAACAAAATTTTCGGGGGGGGGGGGGGGGGGGGGGGGGGTTTTTTGGGGGAAAGTGTAAAAACTAGAAATTTTTAGGAGGGCGAAGTGCATTTTGTCCTTAAAATTAAGATGTATAATTACTTATCAGCTCTTAAAACAACTTATCAGATGTAATTGCTCATCATCTGTTTAAAATAAGCCAAGCAGGCTTTTCTAAATAGGTAAGATGAATTTGTTAGACGCCAAACACCTATGGTGGTAGACACGGCCATGGGCCGGTTCACTCCGATTCGCGGTTCACTTTTTCCAGAACAGGAACCAGCCTGTACTACGCACAGTTCGGCGGGCCGGGTCGGCCCGCCGGTTCACTCCGGTTCCGGGTTGGCCCGAAATTTTATATTTATATATATATTTAACAAAAAATACGTAATGGATAAATAAATTAAAATAATTACTTTTAAATATGAAAAAAACAAAAGAAAATAAATAAAAAGGACTTTAACTTAATTTTATAGGAAAAAAATGGGGTGTGGGAGTATTTATAAGAAAAACTAAAGATTCTCTAAAATACCTTTTGGGTAAACTAAAGATCTATCGGCTAATTGAAGAGTTATAGCCGTCGGTTCAATTTCTCCTAACCCAAGATTTTTAAAGGTTGAATAAGGCATAAGATTAATGCTAGCCCCTAAATCAATGAGTGATCTAAAATTTTTACCTCCTATAGTACAAGGAATAGTAAACTTACCTGGATCGCCGAGTTTTTGTGGAAGAGGCCGAGTAAGAATTGCACTAATTTGCTCCATGAGTTGGATCATCTCGTTCCCTTGCAATTTCTTACTTTTCTTCACGAGGTCCTTGAGGAACTTCACCCACTTTGGCATCTTTTTAAGTGCTTCAATGAAAGGAATATTTATGCAAATTTCCTTCAACTTGTCCAAAAATCTTTGACATTCGGCATCGAGCTTATTCTTTATAAACTTTTGAGGATAAGGAATTGGAGGGACTTGTGAAGGCACCGTCGATGGTGGCTCGTCATGAGATGATTCTTTTTCCTCATTCTTTTTCGGCTTCTCGATTACCGTGTTTCTCTTCTCTTTTCGTGGGGCTTCCTCCAATTGCTTACCGTTCTTCAAGGTGACTGCTTGGCACGTCTCAACCTCGATCTTTTTCGTTAGCAATCTTTGTGGATATGGGATTGGCTCGACCCATTCGGCTACAGTGACTTGCGGCTTGACTTGAATTTCTTCTTTTTTCTCGATCTTGAAACCGATAGCTTGGCACGTCTCGAACTTTTGCTTTCGAGGATCTTCCGTATTCGATGGCAATGCTGCTTGCGCACGGTTCTCTTGATTCAAAGCTAATTGAGCGACTTGATTCTCCAAATTTCGCAACGAGGCTTGGGTAGCGGTTATGAATTGGGCCAATATCTCCTCCGTGTTTGATTTTTGGGCTGGTGGATTGTTGCCTTGATAGCTTTGTTGAGGAGGGGGTCGATTTTGGAATTGGCCTTGAGGTCTTTGATATCCTTGGCGAAAGAGAGAAAAAAAAGGGCGAAAGCGCGCGTGGCGCACACGCGCTGACGCGCGCGCGCGCGTCAGCAGAAGAAAAAAAAATCGGAGGAAGCGTGCGTGCACAGCACGCGTGCGTGGCACACACGCACTGACGCGCGAGCGCGTCAGTCGGAAATAAAAAAAAAATTATCAGAGCGCGCGCGCGCTTTCCCAAGTCCACCTTGGACCGCGCGCAACTTTTACTACTTTCCACCAAATTTCGCGTAGATTTTGACTCGCTTCACCAAATCGCATGAGAATTTCACCGCGCTTCACCAAATTGCGCGAGCTCTCCAACCCGGCCGCCTCGCCAATTCGCGCGCACTCTCAAATGGATAAATAAAAAATTATTATTTCTCCACGCCACGACAACACCTACTACTCTCGATACGATTCGGTATCCTTTTCGACTTGTCTCCCACATCGAATCGATAGTGGGGGGCTTGCGAGACAACTCCTACTCCTACGAGGAGCCAACTCGCTCGGTACTACGGACCCGCAGCGAGACAACTCCCAGGAGGAGCCAACTCGCTCGGTACCACAACCCGCAGCGAGACAACTCCCACGAGGAGCCAACTCCCTCGGATATACGAAACCACAGCGAGAACTCCCACGAGGAGACCACTCGCTCCGTCCTACAACCCGCAGCGAGACAACTCCCACGAGGAGCCAACTCGCTCGGTACTACGAACCCGCAGCGAGACAACTCCCACGAGGAGCCAACTCGCTCGGTACCACAACCCGCAGCGAGACAACTCCCACGAGGAGCCAACTCGCTCGGTCCTACAAACCCGTAGCGAGGTAACTCCCACGAGGAGCCAACTCCCTCGGATATACGAAACCACAGCGAGATAACTCCCACAAGGAGACCACTCGCTCCGTCCTACAACCCGCAACGAGACAACTCCCACGAGGAGCAAACTCGCTCGGTACTACGAACCCTCAGCGAGACAACTCCCACGAGGAGCCAACTCCCACGAGGAGACAAATCGCTCAGAGCGACCTCAATCCGCACGCTCTTCATTCGCGTGTCATCCAATGCTCCTACAACTTCGCTGCGAGACAACTCCCATGAGGAGACAACTCGCCCGAAATTCACTATATAATCGCAAGCTCAAGTTAGCACGATTACAACCCTAGAAACACTTAGAGATATTAGAAGAATCTATATAGCCTGGCCAGCATGATTACTCAAATTTATCTACTTGTTTTCGATGGGTCATTCATTAAAACGTGGCCACTGTCCAAGCACACTTACGACCCACGAGGTCTAACAAGAGACACGATCCCCATAAAAAATCTTGAGAGCCTGATCCCCTCCTCAAGTACATCACACACAAGGCTATATGTAAACACATACAAGCAACGCGTCATAACATTGACAATGTCGATGAATAACAACTCCCACGAGGAGATAACTCGATCAACTCTATTACCCCGCGACGAGACAACTCCCACGAGGAGATAACTTGATCCGAGCTACTGCATCGTCGCAGGAAAACGCCGACGACTCAAGTAACTTACATTGCAACAACTTGGTTGCACTACGCGCCAACGCCCCTGCGACACACGCTCCAACGCGTTTTCCCACACCATCGACTACTACAATTTTTACTCTCGACACGATCTGTCACCCATTTCAACATGGCCCCCACATCGACTCGAGAGTGGGGGGCTTAATGATATGCCATATTGGCCCAACCCAATGGGCCTACAAATTATTTACCTACTGGGCCACGAGCCAAATATTGAAGACCACTATTACCGAGGCCCAATCACCTTCAAGTAAGGTTTGGGTCCGACAATCTCAACTAAGCTATAAATAAATGTTTGAACTCATTCCTCAAGGTACGTCCTATTAACTGAGCAATACTACAACTGTATTCTCTGGACTATTTCCACTATCCGCATGTCTGACTTGAGCGTGAGCGTCGGAGGGGCTTCCGCCGGATCAACCCCCGGCGTAGTTCACGTGTTCTGTGATCGCAGGTATCTCAAGGTCATCAAGCTCGTGAGCCAGTGATCCACTCTGCTCTTCCAACTCATCCTTATTCAACTCACTAAGGTGATTTAACTTTAGCATCACCAATATGTAACACATCCCATAATTCAGGGGTGAACTTTGTTATATAAATAATTAATCGAATAGTATCTCATAATAAGATGTGAAGCATGTCAACAGAAACAACCTCCCCAAAACCCCTCCGCGTAACGTATAAGAGTATTCATCTGTTAGAAAACTGGTTTGTAATGAATCATCCGAGCCCGTTAATAACCAACTAATTCTTCAAAGTTTGTTTCATATATATATGCAAGCCGGCCTCAAGGAACTACTTGGCCAGTGGCCTACCTATAATTTAATGAAACAAAATAAAAATATACACAATTTTATCAAACTGCCTACCACGTACTAACAATTAGTCAAATATTCAATTCTTCTACTTATACGAACATACATATATATATATATATATATATATATATATATATATATATATATATATATATGAAGTGCAAAAACAAATTATCCATTCAATTATTCACAAGCATAATAATATATGGCCTCTCTTATAAACCCATATGCCAAAGTGCATGAACCTGATCAAGATATTAATCTCATCGCATCGGCAAATCGAGCCAAGAAGAGAAGGAGAAATATCGTCATCTTCACCTTTTCTGCAATAATCCTCGCATGCGTTGTTGTCGCAGCTTTGGCGGGAGTCGTCGTTTCTCGTGCAAAAAACGAGACCTCCCGTCAACAAAACGAGTCTCTAATTATATCATCCAAAATTAAAGCGATATGCAATTCCACTCTCTACCCTTCGTCGTGCTACACAAGCCTAGCCCCACTCGCCATTAATTCGGGCCATTTTAATCCTCGTGAAATCTTCCGTTTATCCATCCAAGTCGCCATAGACGAGCTTCTCGACGTGTCCGGTAAATTCAACAGCAGCAACAATAATATGTATAACGATAACGCCACCATGGCAGCTGTCGAGAGCTGCCTGCAACTTTTATCTCTCTCAATTGACCATCTCAACTCTTCTCTAACCGTCAATTTTGACCTAACTGATTTGGTCAACGCTTTCGACGATCTCCGAACGTGGCTAAGCATGGCCGGAACGTATCAGCAAACATGCATAGACGGCTTCGAAAACACTCCTTTCATCGGCACCGTCGTACAAGCACTACAAAATTCGACAGAGTTCACAAGCAACAGCCTCGCGATCATAACATCGATCGAGGGACACTCGGTTTCCTCTTTCGGACGGCGTCTGATGAGCACCGGGTCGTCGCAGAGGAGGGAGGTGCTCGATAAGTCGATCGTACCAAATGCGGTGGTGGCGCAGGACGGATCGGGAAAGTACAGCACGATCAATGCGGCGATGAAAGATGTACCGAATAAGAGCAAAACGAGGTACGTGATATATGTGAAGAAGGGGACTTATGTGGAGAATGTGATAGTGAGTGCTACTAAATGGAATGTGATGATGGTTGGTGATGGTATGGATGCTACATTGGTTTCCGGCAGCCTCAACTTTGTCGATGGTACCCCTACTTTTAACACTGCAACATTTGGTAAGTTTTGCATAAACTCCAAATGTTACATACATACATATATACAAGGAGAGTCTATTATATTATATTATATTATTTGATACTAGGTCTAATATATATACTTGATATATTATTAGAAGGGAAGTTAGATGCTACATTTGATTATTTACACCGCGTAAATGTTAATCGTAGATGTGTGATTACATAACGTCCAACTAAGCACACATATACATGGGTATGTGTGTGATTATGTGCAAATCTACGGTTTAACACTCACTCGTTGTAAATAACTAGGTGTATACATCTAGTTTCCCTATATTAGACGTACGCACGTTCACATTTAGAGTCATTAGCTGAGAACCGACACATCAAGAGTCGGGGAAATTCTGTCTCGTAATAGGAAACACGGTAGGAGATTCGAGTTGGTTCATTTTCTGGTCCTAGTTAAATAGTGGTTAACTTTTTTTTGTTGGGCAAATTACGGCCACCGCTAAGGTTATGGTCAAATAACGGAAACCCCCCTTTTGTTTGGGTAACAGCCACTCCCCTCAACTATGTATTATCTTACGAGAAGACCCCTCCGAAGGTAAATTTAGGGATGTTAATTTGGTAAAATCGAACCGAAATTTCGATATGCCAACATTTCATACCATTTACCGAACTGAATATACCAAATGACATATATTTTATGTAAAAATATTTAAAAGAAGGTGTGACTGCAGTAATTACAAAAACAAGAGAGGGTTTTCCGTAATTACCAATACATCCAAACAAAAATAGTTTTTACCTACAAACCTATCGATACTTGATTGGACTGAAATATCCTTAACCATTTCATCGATATGTCAAAATCATAATTTGAAACCTCTAATTTGAACCGAATTTCAGTTTTGTTGTTTGCTTTGGCAGCCGGTCAACAATGTTGACTTTTTTTGTTAATTTCTCTAGACAGAACGCCGGTTAAAGGCGTTCATTTTGTTTTTGGTCAGTCAGTCAACGACGGTGACGGTGATTCTTTTGTCCTTCTGGTCTAGCGGTCGGTCTATGGTGTTGACCTTTTATTTTAGTCAACTATTTAGATACCCGACCATCACGATACAACAGTAGTCAACACAACAAAATAGTCGAAAACAATTCGACCAATCAACATAGTAAAATTAAGAACGTACGGTTAAAACTTAAAACAATAGCTAGTCAGGAAAAGCAAAAAAATTGATCGATCAGTCAACAACGTAAAATGCCGGTCGAACACAACAAAAATTATCGTAATAATATCAAATTGCTTAATCCATCGATGCAGCTGCATTAGGACGCGGATTCATCGCAAGGGACATGGGATTCCTCAACACGGCGGGCGCACCGAAGCAACAAGCGGTGGCACTCTTATCGGCATCGGACAATTCCCTCTTCCACCGCTGCCGAATCGACGCCTTCCAGGACAGCCTCTACGCTCACTCCAACCGCCAATTCTACCGCGAGTGCAACATCTACGGCACCGTCGACTTCATATTCGGAAACTCGGCCGTCGTCCTACAAAACTGCCAGATAATGCCACGTAGGCCAATACGAGGTCAGCAGAACACGATCACCGCTCAGGGGAAAAACGACCCGAACCAAAACACCGGCATTTCAATTCAGAACTGCACTATCTCGCCGTTCGAAAGTCTTAGTGGGGTGAGCAGTTATTTGGGTAGGCCCTGGAAAAATTATTCGACCACCATTTACATGCAAAGTGCGATTTCGGAGTTCATTGATCCTAAAGGGTGGCTGTCTTGGACGGGGTCTAGCGGTGCACCGGACACTATTTTTTACGCCGAGTACCAAAATACGGGGCCGGGGTCGGTGACAGATGGAAGAGTTAACTGGAAAGGGCTTCAATTGAATTTTACTAGTAAACAAGCTGGAAAATTTACCGTCCACTCGTTTATTAATGGAGATAAATGGATAGCAGCAGCCAATGTGACATTTAAATCGACCCTCTAATTTTTTTATTCTTACATATTTATTTATTTTTGAAATTATTGTTTGAATTAATTATGTAACTGAATTTGGAGTGATGTTGGAAATTACGGAGTAAAACATTTTTTATATCTTTGTAACAATAGACATTTCTTGATAACATTGGTAAGTACTATGTGCAAATCATTTTTTATATCTTTGTAACAACTAACAAGGCAATTTGCTATAGATCTCTCTATATTATAATTTATGTGTGTAAATCTAAGTCAAAATTTAATATTTTAATAAATTAATAATATTTATTATGGTAAACATACCCTTAATTAAATCAAATCAAATCCCCAAAAATTTCTCTATCAAAACAAATTCTCAATCACGGCGCCTTTTTGCACGACACACTTGAAGAGGATGTTACATGACTCAACCACCTGGTTTTATTGATGCTTGATATGTGTAAAACTTACGTATAAATAACCGCAAGTGTACAATATCGCATTTTATAGAATAGTGAATTCCAGATAACGAACCACAGTGAATTAAGTTCCTAAAGGTACCAAGTATTGTAGTTGTACTATCCTAAAATTTATGGAAATAACATAGCGACTTTACCTAATTAAACGTCGCAACAGAAAAATTGGAAAAAAAAAATCTATTATATTGCGACGTTTCAATCCACTGCTCTATTTAAGTCGCAAAACAAATTTAGAAATTTTTAATTGGAAAACCATTTGCGACGCAATAATATATATAAGTCGCCAATTTTCCAATCACATTGCGTCATTTCTCAAATATCGTCGCAAATATTATTAATTAAGAAAAATAAAAAAATATTTTTTTCCTCTTGCGACGAATATTTTCATTAACGTCGCAACTGTACGACGTATATAAGAGATTCGTTGCCTTTTCTTCAGGGAACTTTTCGTTTTAAAGTTTGCGATGATTTCAGCGACATAATTTAGAATCGTCGCAATATTTACGCATTTTTTCGAATTTAAATATAAATTATGCATTATTGAGATGATATGTTAAGAAACGTTTCAATATGAGCGACGTTTGCATTATTGTCGCAAAGAAAACGTCGCCTGAACTGAAATTTGGCCTAGTGGGCATTGTTAACGTCGAGTTGACGAATGGACCAATACCCTGATATTTGTGGAGTAGGTGTTGGCTGGGGCGAAGGATCATCTGTGCTAGAAACGGTAGTAGTGGGACTAGAAGTATTAGATACATGGGAGAGGCATCCTGAGGCGATGGAGAAACGCCTCCGTTAACGCTGATGAACGTTAGTCCGACGGGTCCTGTTGCATGCTCAAGCAATGCTTGAGTTGAAGAAACATAAGCTGGGTGATTGGTAAACCAAATGAGTTATTTTGAGTAAAAGGAAAAATAGTTTCGTCAAACAAAACATAACGGGGATATATGGTTTTTGAGATATAGGGTCATAACATCGATATGCACTATGACTAGTGGAATAACCAACAAAAAGACAACGACGAGACTTAGCTTGTAATTTATTAGTTGCGTATGAATGAAGCCAGAGATAATATAGACACCCAAATATTCGAAGTTTCGTGTAATTAGGTGTACAATTGAAAATGACATTATAAGGAGATATGTAATTCAGAACTAGGGTCGGCAACTTAATGAGGTATACCACCGTGAGCATGGAATGTGTCCAATATGTGTTCGGGAGATTGGCTTGATGAAGGAGGGTTTTATGTGTTTCGACAATTTGCCTATGTCTCTCTGAGGTACCATTATGTTTAGGAGTATATTAGATTAACGTCGTACTCACATTAATCTCGAAGAAAATTCGTCCCCGTGATCTGATCCTTCACAAGGAAAAAAATGGGTGATTTTTAAGATATACATTATTAGCTTTATTAAAATGATGAACATTAATGAGATTTTTGCTAATATTTAGAATCCAAAGTGTATTGGACAAGATAATTTTTTTTTTGAGAGGATTTTAAATTCATGGACCCGACATGTGTGACTTTCAAACCTGACCCATCACCGATTTGAACTTCATCTATACCATCATATTCATAAGTGATGGTGAGATTGGTCATATCAGAATTGATGTTATGAGATGTGGCAGAGTCAATGAGCAAGGGATTGCCTTTTCCTTTAGATGTGGATGTGTAGTTGGCAATGGCATGGGATGGCCGAAATAACGCGCATTGCTTGCACTATGATCAAAATTCTCACATATCTAACAAACAATTTTTTTGCCCAGTATGGTAGTTCCAACGATATCCTTTTTTAGAGTATTGTCGATTATCGGAAGAGTTGTTCGTTGAATATTCCTTCTTTGGTTTTGGACTTGTTGTTATTCCACCGTTGAGTTGAGTTTGCTGTAACACCAGGAGATATATTGTTAGATTCCAATCTCTTCAAGTAAGACTCATAAACAATGTTGTTTCTCGAGCACGAATTGGGGCAACAATGTCACGGAAGTCTGGACCAAGGCCATGAAGAACGTAAAGAGTGATATCGTTGGATGACAAAACACTATTCAATTGCAGCAAGCTCTTCAGATATTAACTTGATGGCATGGAAGAACTCAGACACGATTCAATTTCCACGCCGAATGAGAGTAAGCTCTTTCTTCAGTTGTATGACGCGAGTGCGAGATTTACTCGCATAGATTCGGACAAGTCGAGACCAAGCTTCACTTGAAGTTTTGGATGTCGCAATCATTGGCATGATGGATTCCAAAACCGATGCAAAAATTGCGTTTAGAAGAAGTTTGTCTTGACGAACCCAAAAGGAAATGGGGATTTATTCCATCAAAGGGAATGTCATTAGACGGAGACGGACAACGTTGCGATGCATCGATGTATCCAAGTAGATCGTAACCAATTAGGAGAGACTTAAATTGAGCTTTCCAAGACAAATAATTAGATGGTGTAAGCTTCCATGGTAACTGTGATGCAACGTTAACTGCAATTAGTTGAGGCATACTTGGAGAAGAGATAGGGGTGTTGGACAAGGTTTGTAAGTTAGAAGGCATTATGCGGAAGCCAGGTTTATGATCAAATCTCAAAGGAGAAAGTGAAATACCGATACCGTAAAAGGGAGTGCGCAATACATGGAGAACCAAACACACTTCTTCATTTACATAGCTTGTGTTTGTATAGATATATACAAAGGCTAATATGTGGGGAAATAATGTACAGTAATTAAATGCTATACAATTACTTGGACGCTAATATTCAAGTGAATGATTTGAAGCTTGATTTTTGGGATTTATCAATTACAAATAGGCTCCTTGAATGGCTTGACATAAGCCTTGCAATCTCACGTTATTTATTTTGATAGAATATTTTTTCCTTTACATTGAGCCTATTAATTAAGGACAAATAAAATGGATCCAAGGATACGCGATGAACAAGTTAATTACCAACAAGAATCGTTCCCTTGAGGATTGATTAAAAACTTACATTGGATCAGAGGAGCACTCTACACGATAAAATGACGAA